TCCTCCCCTGAAGAGGTTCCTGTCAGTCGTGGTAGAGGTCCTTCCTCCAGCACCACTGCACACGCGATGTCCGTCGTCGCTCGGTTGAGGGGTCGTCGCTCGCTGCACCACCGGTCACGCGTCCCAGGACTACGACCACGATGGAGTCTTCACCGTCCACTCCAGAGCAACCTGGACCGCCAGGAGTGCTATAGGTTGAGGCTTTCATAACATGACAACACGGAGGCTTACAAGGTAAGCCTTTAGGCCGTGGGCGAGATATGGCTAGCACGTGGGTTGCACGCATATACGCAGAAATTTTGACAGACTATCCTGACAAACGCTGCCTGCTGGCATATATAAGTAGACACGTCATCACTGGTGCATTTCCAGCCGGCGAGCTCCCTCAGCTTCTGGAAAATATAGGTCTGTACTTTGACCACTTTGACCACAACATGGGCTTGAGGTTCTTGAGCCTAACGTATGTTTGATATTTTATATATATATATATGTTTAAAAAGTTTTCAAAGCTGGCTAATATCTGTTGCCAGCTTTGTGGTCGTTTTGACATGTTTGGGGATTGTGTGGCATGCACCGTTAACTCTTCCGAACGCGATCGAAATCGAAGGTTTTGAAAGCAGCAGGCGTTCAATCCAGTCGCTGTGAATTTTGGAAACCTTGGAATCTTAGCAACCCCTATAGTCTATTAGGGTTGGTTCTCATCCACTTTTGTGGCTTCGGCCTCCCGTGGCTTTGCTTGGAATTCCGACTTGCCGCCCACCCGCCCTAGCGACCATGGCTCAACCACATAAAACATACCCACAAAAGAAACTGAAGAGGCCCTCTAACATTGGTGAGCCATGATAGCATCACACTACAAAGCAAGCATGCAGTGTTTTTTCTCTTTCATGGGCCGCGCGGCCCGCTCCATGTGCCCGGTCGGGGCTCCAGTTCTGCACCGGAAGTGGTGTCTACAGGAACAGTTCCACCCATGCTCTGTAGCGACCCAATGTCACTTGCGCCATTGTTTGTGTATGGGTCTGAGATGCTATCTTGCCAAGGTGCTGCATTAGATCTTCATCTTGGTAATTGTGTTCGAACCTAGAGGGTTGAAGAGAACACACAACACCTTTGCCAATATCTTAAAACACTTTAAACACAATTTGGGCGAGTTCTTTCAATCTCCAAACCTTGGATTGCGTCTTGTTTTTTCTGACGTACAGTAACATCTCGAGGAACGAGTGGAACTTCGGGGTGATCTTCAGAAAACGACGTCCATCCGTTCGAGCGCGATCATGCCCTGCCAGTTCCTGGTAAAACAATAAGGCTGCATGCCCATAGCGCGTTACAAGAGCCATCTCCTGCTCTCCAAAAAAAGGCCCCCCTTGATCTACCAAATGTTGGAACTTGGCGAAGGAGTGCATGCAAAGCCAGCGTAGTCTTGAGTTGGGAACATTGCCTTCCTGGTCCTGGTCTTTCATGTAGTCACTAGCCCAGAACATCATGGTTTTCACTACTGCCGCCTTGTAGTGGCTTGACAACTCCGGAAACTCAGCCCAACCCTGCTTGGAAAACCTCTTCCCATTGAATCTGAACGATGTAGCTGTAAACTTTCTTCCGTGTGTGCGACACCAACCCTTGTAGTGTAAGTATACTTCTCTCCGGAGCAATGTATCCAACTCAGACAAAGTCAAACTAGGACGCTTGCTCTCAAGGCCGCTGCAAATCAGCGCAGGGATCACAACGCAGGCGACGCCCTGATGAAGTACGTGGAGCAAGTCCTGAGGTCACACAGGCGCACGCAAAGTTCATGAACAAATACAAAACCCCCACTACAAAGAAGGTCACACAGGTGTCAAAACAAAACCCCCACTACAAAGAAGGTCACACAGGTGCCAAAACATAACCCCCACTCCACAGAAAACTTGTTGACTGGATGAGGCTCTTCTAAATTACGGTCCTTGGTCCAACCCCTGACACAAAGCCATGGGCTGGGTGTAGACATCATCAAGTATTGTTCGTGTGTGAACCGTAGTGACAAGCAGTTGGCGCTCATGCGGAAATCACCAAATGTGTTGTGCTCTTCGTACGATGCGCAGCAGTGCTCACAGATGTACTTTGTTGCATAATATCTGTTGAGGCGGTGGACCTGTTGCCTCGCCTCCCAATCACCCTTGAAAGCTGCAAAGGTCATAATCCAATTGAACTCAAAGGGTTTCCCAGCGCGAGAAGCACTGGCAGACCCCACTGGCCAGCTGCACCCCTGCGAATCCAATTCTGGATATTTACCACTTCTCAAAGTTTCAACCATGTACGATACAAGCGCAGCAATGGAGGCGTGAGTCTTGTGTTTGACGATTTCTGACTCCCTTACAACAATAAATACCCACTTGGTTCTCATGGAAGGCCCCTTCCTGCACGCGGAAGACATGCTGTAAATAAACATTTTTTGATGGCGGTATACCCTTACCCCATCACAATGTATGTAAAGTGGCACACACCTCCCAAACTCTTCACGTCCCAGCTCAAGCTTTTCGAAAAAACTCTAACTCAGATGCATGTTCCCAATACTCTGTCGTTCGTGAAGATGCTGTGGCAGGGTCGTCGGCTATCCACTGAAGAAGTTTCCCAGCTTCGTGCAAATGAGCAAAAAACTCCCAAGGCCAAAGTATTGTTGTTGACTGTAGGATCTCCTCCTCTTCCCCATCCGCACGAGTTATCATCAGTGGGATCTCCACTGTGTCTGGGGCAACAGAACAAACCTTTTTGCACCACCTTGAGGGTTCAGGGCTCAACAGTCACCCATTAATAAACTTGAACCATCACTCAACCAAACATTTTTTGATTTCAGCTCCCCACTGGCCTGGCAAAAGACCGCTCCTCGTGACCTTTCGACCACTGGGACATCTCCATTGCCAAGGGGCAGTAGAATCCATCATTGATTAGATCAGCAGCGTCATCACGAGCAGCAGCAGCTGATAGAGCCTCACGCAAACAAAGGATTGTTGGACTTCTGTTGGACTTCTGTTGGGTGACAAGAGGACACTTCCATGATGCTCATTTCGTGTATGGTGATCTTGTACCCCCTTTGAATGTTGTGATGCAGCCTCGGAACTCCGGAGCACACCTTCTTCAAAATCTGCTTCGCTGATTCCGACGCTGCGTGGAAATCACTTAGAATCGAGCATCAGGTCAGGGATGAGCATAGAAGTGACATAGAAGAAACATAAAACATGACTACCATACCCTCATGACTACCCGGACCCTCATGTTTGGAACTTCACTTGAAATTTGCGCTGCTGAGGCGCTTCTGGCGTTTGGTCTGGAGCGATCGCGTTTCCTGCGAGGGTGGTATGGACTGGGCTTCACTGGGCGCTTACTCTTTCATGTGGGGAATCTCAAAAAGATAGGCTGATAGGCTTTCTAAAGGCATTGTAAAGGGCTGATTTTCTAAAAGGCTTTCTCTCTAACGTATAGACCTGATTTTCTAAAGGCTCTCGCTCTTCCCAAGCTCTGGATGGATTGAAGTTGCTTTGCAACTAAACTGGACCAGGGGACCATGAATGTTCGAAAGCGAACAAACAGGTGCATGCAGCAGTATAGGTCAGTCATTTTCATATAGACCTCTGGCCCACTGGTCCCCCCCACACGGTCATAGCCTGAAGTGGCTTTTGGTGCCCTAGTCCAAGCTTTTGGTGACCGGCATGAACAAAATGAAAGGGCCCATCTAAGGCTTACGCTTTCCCATCAGTGAGGGGCAGGGGTTCTTCTGCCCCCGAACCCTTCTCATCGGGCTTCTGATCAGGCTTAGCCTTTGCTCGTGGTTTTTTATCCACTGCACAAATCAAAGCCTTTGCCAAATTGACTCGCTCAGACGCAAGCTTGCGAATCTCATCCACCTGATCAACAAGAGTGTTGGGGGGGCCATCAAAAGCGTCGAAAGTATACCAAAAGTATACCAGATTGTTTGAAGACTCAGTTAGCAATACCTGAAACCAAATGCTGTTTGTAAAGAATTGCCTGGGCCAAGAGATCCCTGTAATGCTTGTTCTTGTTCCGCTTCTCACGGACTTTCGACTGCAAGGATTCTGCCATCTGGTTCAACTTGACGGCGCAGGCTCGCAATTGGTCCGTGAGCTCTTTGCCCATGGAATGGGGTCGTAGTTTGAACGCCAAGTCCCTGGGAAACACACCGCGTAAAAGAAGATCCATACTGAGTTTACAAACACAGGTGAAGCGGGTGAAGGTTTATTCAGCCTAGGAGCCTGCATTCATTTGCATCCTTCAGGATCTTATGAATCAAGGACTGTGCTTTATCCAGGGGGGCTCTCGGGAACCACCTGAGGCAAAGGCTTAATGGATGAGAAGACACAACAAGATACACACTACACACAAAATGGGATGTGATATCCTACCTTCTTCTCCTTCTTTGGTTTGTCCTTTTCAAGTTTCCTTTTGTTCGACCCGGTCGAATCCAGCAGCTTCTGCATGCCCTCAGCTCCTACCATTTGCCCAAGACCAAGATGCTGCTTGCCATCCAAGCATCCACCAGCCTAAGCAAAAGGTGATTAGATCTGATTGTAGGTGCGACCAGTCTAGTTTTGGAAACTGATTAGGTCTGCCTGACTAGTGCGACCAGTTTAGTTCTGAAACACTAACTTTGTTGCTAAGGTGCTTCAACAAAGGCCTTTAGGCCATCTTGGTCCAGGGACCCACTCATCTCCAATTGCACCACCCGGCGCAACTCCTTGGTGTCCGTGATGTCAAGATCGATGAGAACAAAGTATAGCTTCTCGTTCTCTCCGGGAAGCTCCGGGTCATCCATGGTCCTTACGTTCCAGGCGCTTGGAGTGCGAGCCCTTAAGATCGTCTACAAGATACATGAAGGCTGGGCGAGAAGTTGGTCGACATGTCAGGACGAGGTTCAACCCCAAACGTGCCTTACGCTCCATGATCTTAGCAGCTTTCTTGGGACCATGTGTAGTCTCTAGCCACTGCTGGCCTTTGAAGCCATACTTCACCTTTGACCTTTGGGCCTCCTGAAGAGACAACTCGAATTTGGCCTCCACCTCAGCAAACACACCGTCGGAGTCGACGAAGTGGTTGAACAAGGAGTTCCGGGTCTCCTGCAGTGCATGATAGTGGGAGATACTGATTTGAACCAAAGGATGGGAATGTGAAGGAACCTTTGACCTCATAGCCCAAATAAAAAAAAATATATATGTATATATATATATATGTAGATATATGTTTCAGATAAATAGGGAAAGAAGGTGGCCCAGGTGCCCAGCCTCCGTCTTGCAAGCTGCGATGATCTTGGCTGGACAGCGCTTTTTGTTTTTGAGCCACCTTCCGAACTTTTGCCACTTTGCCCGCTGGTTGGTGGCATTCCACTTGTTAGCTCCCTTCTCAGCATCTGCGAGCCCCTTTGGTTTCTTTGCCTCATTCTGCTTCTCGTTGGCTGTTTTTCTCTTCTTTCCTTCAGCCTCCTCCTCCTCTACCTCCTTCTCTTTCTTATCCTTTTTCTCTTTCTTGCCCTTCTTGCCTTTGCTCTTCTCTTTGCTGGATCTTCCCCTCTTCATGTCCTTCTTGCCCTTCTCCTTTTTCACTGGTTCCTCCTCCTCCTCCTCATCTTCATCTTCACCCTGTTCTTCCTCGCTGTCCTCATCTTCACCTTCTTCGCTGCCTTCATCTTCCTCATCATCAGATGATGCCTGGCTGCCATCTTCCTCATCTGACTTCTCGGATTCTTTATCCTTGCCATTCTTTAGAATGCTCTTTGGTGAGTCACTCTTCCCTTCTTTGCTCTCCTCTGCCTCACCCTCGCTCTCATTCTCCTCTTCACTGTCACTGGAACCCTTCTCATTCTTGCTCTCATTCTCACTTTCATCTTCATTGTCGCTTGCCTCAGATCCACTTTCCTCATCTGAAGAGCTTGTAGGGTCCTCTTTGCTTTGCTCGCTTTCACTCTCACTCTCGTCATCCTTCTTTGCCTTCTGCTTCTTTCGCTCCTCCTCTTCTTTCTTTTGCTTCTCCTTCTGAGCCTGCTCCTCCTTTTCTTTCT